TCCTCCCCAAGGTAAATAACATGGCTCTCTATCATGACATCCACCCTTTGTGTTACTGTCTTGTCAGCAGTGTGGGCAGACTTGGTGAAGGAGTGGCAGAGATCCTGTGAGGGATCCTTTGGGCTGGGTCCAGTTTGCTGTAGAGCAACTGTAGGAGCAGTGTAGGAGGTAATTGATGTTTTCAGTGAGTACTCTAAGGACGGGAGTCACTGAGCCTGAAAGTACCTTCGCACAGGGTGGGCCATTAAAAGAGGAACTGAGGGAGGAAATGCAGGTGACAGCTCCTTAGGCCCCACACAAGTGAACTGAGTCCTACCAAGCCATCTGAGTCTTGAGCAGAACTCAAACAACCAATTTGAAACTGGGGAGTTTTGGGTCCATGGTGAGCATGGCCTTAAGGTTAACTCAGGTTGCTGGCTCTTTGTCAGACTCGCCTAGCCACCTGATATCACCAGCCACTCCACCCTTGATGAAGCTATTTATCTAGGCCCTAGGAGAGTAGGTGTACAGGTTGCATGGCAATTTTGCTAGGGCCACAGGCACTAACAGTATTATCCCGGAAGACAAGTTGGCGGTCAGCTCTGCAGAGCTTCTCATAGTTCCCAGGCACTGGCCAGCAAGTTAGTAGGTAAGATGCTAGCCACACCTCCCTGCCTACAGTGGCACAGTGACATCATGAGTGTGAGCACTTCCCTCTGCCTTTCACAGCCAGGGCATCGGCGCTGAGCTCATGGGGCTGCAGGTGGACTACTGGACAGCAGCACAGCCTGCGGACAGGAAGAGAGATGCCGAGAAGAAAGACCTGCCCACCACCAAAAACACGCTCAAGTGCACTTTCCGGTCCCTCCAGGTCAGCAGGTTGCCCAGCAGTGGCGAGGCTGCAGCCACACCCACCATGTCCATGACCGTGGTCACCAAGGAGAAGAACAAGAAGGGTGAGGTGGGAATGTACTGAGCAGGGACAATGGGAGAGGGGTCTCTGTGGTAATTATTGGTGATGGGGATATTCCCACCCCTTAGCAAGTTCCCAGTAAATTCATTGTCATGAGCACACACCTCACCGCAGAAGGGGTCGGCAGTCAGACCTGCTTTGACAGCTGTGGCCCCTGAGCTGTGAGGATACTGAGGTTCTGGGTAGCTTCTGGCCTCAGGTGGAATATCAGGCATTAGGGTGCTGTATGTGGTCACGGCAAGAAGCTGAATCCCAGGTGAACAGGGGCCAGCCAAGTCTCCATCGCTACTGTTCTCCCATCCTGCCTGCTGCTGGGGCTCTGTCAAGCTTGGCCCTGAAGGAGCAGTGAATCAACAGCAGGACTCTTTTCTTCCCAGTGATGTTTTTGCCCAAGAAAACTAAGGACAAAGATGTGGAATCTAAAAGCCAGTGCATCGAAGGCATCAGTCGGCTGATCTGCACAGCGAAGCACCAACAGAACATGCTTCGGGGTGAGCATGGGCCAGGGGACTCCACAGGGTGCTGGGGAATCAGTCCATGACCCAGATCCTTTTAGGTTCTTCCTGTAAAATGTGAATGCAGAGCTAAACAGATGGGTGGCTTTTCAAAGCCAGCACAGGAACCAGTTGTTTTCCTATGAAAGGCATGCTTACAGATTCACACTTGGAACACATTTTGATAAGGGACTTGCATACATCTTACAGCCTTTCAAGTTCAAATAATTTTTCAACCTTTTCTGTGTTTTTATTGATGAAGATATGGTAGAGGATTGTTAGAGAGTGAACCTAGGGTCTCATGCGTACTAGGCAAATGTTCTACCATTGAGCTATATTCCCGGCCCCTTCCTTACTTCATTTTAAAGATTAGTTTGTATATCAGTGTCTTACAGAGGCTATTCTGTAAGCAGTGCACTCAGAGTGTAGGACTCTTGAGCCTCAGTGAGTTTTGAGTCTTTGAGTCTTCCTTGGGCTCTCTGGAAATGCAGCTATTTTAAGTAAGACCCTGTGAGGTAGAGGTGGCATAAGTGAGTCATGCCTTGCTGAAATATGGCTTAGACTGTCTTTGCCACTAGTCCCTTGGGAAGTGGACCCACTATGGCAATGAGTCTTGGGAGGGCAGGTGGTAGAGAGGACCTGGTAAACATGGCTTCCTCCAGCTTCAGGATTACCCTACCCCTGGTAGCAGCCCACCATCCCAGGTGGTTGCTCACCAGGCAGGCAGATGGTGAGGTTGTCCTCTCCCACAGTCCTCATCGATGGCGTGGAATGCAGCGATGTCAAGTTCTTCCAGCTGGCTGCCCAGTGGTCTTCCCACGTGAAGCACTTCCCCATCTGCATCTTTGGACACTCCAAGGCCACCTTCTAGCCCCACCCATGGAAGAGCTGGCACAGGATGATGGAGGGGCCCATGTCCTGCTCTGTGTCAGCCATTGATGGAGGGACAGCTGTGTTTCTGTTAACATGTGGTTACTACAAAGACAGACTCTTAAAAACACAAAGAAACAGTCTTAAGTATGAATGTGCTCATAGCCCAGAAACTAAGGGGAAGCTAGCTAGCTCCCTGTGGGCCATCGAGTAACTTTGCTCTGCTTATTAACCAGAATATGTGGGCAGTGGAAAGGCTGGTAAGAAGAGACGTGAGCTCTGGTCTTATGAAACCCCAGAACTATACGCTAGAAGTGTTCTTGCCTTTGTGTCCTGTCCGTTCCTGAAGTCAGGATTCTGCTTTCCTGAGGAGCAGGGAGCAGGGTACAGTCTTTGGAGTTTAGTGGCCAAAAGTTGAGGGTAAAGAGCATATTTGGTCTCCTAGCATGGGATGGTGGCCCCTGGCACCCCATGCGTGGTTCCCAATAAACTCCAGCCTTATGGCGGAGGTTTTATAGTAGCAGATCTTTCTGATGCTCTTATACATTTGACGATGTAGCTGCCAAGCAGATGTTTTCTTGTGAAGTCCCCTTGGATGGAGAGCCAGCAGGAGCTACATACCTACCCCTGCCCCTCTGGCTGCAGTTCCAGAGGCACTGCTAGGCTTCTGCAGATTCTGCTGCTCAGATCGGTGGTCCTTGCAAATTTCCCAGTGTCTATCCTGGAATGAGAGACACTGCTAGGGTCTGAGACCTGGCTACCATGCCCTTACACCTCTATTCTGCCTGCTGGACAGGAACATCTAGGACTGGTTATGTGGGGTCTGAGTTGAAAAGCAAGGTTGTGAACTGGAAACAGGCAACTGGAGGTGTGTGTGTGTGTGTGTGTGTGTGTACGTGTGTGTGTGTACGTGTGTAGTACACATGTGCATGCGCGCAGTGTAGCCAGTGAAGGCTCCAGCAGGCTGGTCTAACTACAAAGGCTATCCAAGGATCTATCCAAACCATGCTCCTCAAAGCCACATGGATCCATTCTTGGTGGCAGCTCTATTCTTCACCACTTTCCTGCTCAGCAGGAGAGGGATGTGCTGGCCTGCAGCAAGGATCATCCTGACTGTACATGCCCCACCAGATTTATGAAGGGGTTCACAGCCTCAGTCCTAATTTTCTCAAGAATCCTTTCTACCCGAAGTGTCAGATGGAAGAGTGCCTGCCCCCTTGGAAACTGGCACTCCCAGGCACCCTGGTGGTCCATTTAGGAGCTCAGAAAATTACTAAGAGTAGGGCATACTGAGTTTGAGAACTCCTAACCTTTCCTGGGATGAAAAAATGGCCCATTTTCTATTTACTTACTTCCCCGCCTCACCTTGCTGAAAAGAGTCCATTTGTCCAGGGTGAGGCTCTGTACTGCTGCTGGGATCTGGGTTGGGCCCTAGATCCCTGGGTTCAGGGCTCAGTGACAGTGGAACCCCTGGTGAAGAGTACTCTGGAAAGATGCTGTTACAGAGTCAGGCCACTGTGATCCTTAGAGCTTAAGAGCAGAGCCTGGCTTACTGACCCCTTGAGTTTCTTCCCAAAGGTCAACCTTGGTAGAAAAGATTTGGCCTAGAGGGCCAGGGATTCAAGCTCATGCCTGAGGACAGCCCCTTTCCTGGATAACTCTTCCTCTTTATAGCATTCTTGATTGGTTCCAGAGGTCTGACTTTATACAAGTTCAGGGCCTGGGCAGAGCCTCTGTCCAGCAGCTGGCCCAAGGCAAAGTCAGCAAAGCCTGAGTACCGTGCACCCACCACTATAGCCGTGATCCCCTGAGCCTCAGTTTCCCCTTTGGTTAAAGAGACATGTCCATTTTCCTTGCCTACCTCGTGGAGCTGTAATGAGGATTCCTAGAGAAGTACTTTTGTCCCTTTGAAGGATGACTAGACACCAAAGCCCCCTGACAGGTGTCAGGTGAGGACAACAGTGTGTGTATATGTCCCACAGGCCTTAGCCCTGAGGCCCTTAGAGCCTCCCAGTCTTAGGTCACTGTCTGTCAGCACTGGTTCCTCTTAGGCTGGGCCACACAGCCTGTGTGGATGGAAGATCTCATTCCTGTCAGTTGGGGACGCTGCCTTCACGTTAGTCCCTGCCCTCTGAGTATGCAGCTGGGTATCACTGTATGGTACCAGAGCTGGGAAAGGAGGGGCCGGCCCTTGGTTCCTGTGCAATGGCTTGTCCTAACCTTACCCTGAAGGCCTCACTTCTGCCTCTAGCCTCCATCTCAAATGAATTCCTTATAAAAAATGTCCCAGCACTTCTTCCCTGAGCCAGGGTACTGGACCCTCACTTGCTCTCCAAACCCCCACGCCTCCGGAGACTGCTGTGTCCTAGAGAGGGGCCAGCAGAGGCTGAAGGCCTTGCGTGAGGATGACTCCGTCCACTTTTGAAGACGGTCCAGCGCGTTGTGACTGATTTCTAGGGTGTGTGTATGTGTTGCTAGTTTGTTGTTTTTAATGGAAAGGATTCATGTAAATAGCTTTTTGGGAGCAGATGCTGATCTGTCCCATGCGACCATGTGGACGATTTCAAGGTGCTGAAGCGACACTAATAAACTGACGGCGCTCAGGCCGCCCACTGGTGTGATTTCTTTCAATATATTGGGGCCACGCGACTGGAGCGCTGGGGCGCAAGCAACGAGGGGCGGAAACGGCAGCGGAGGGCGGGGTCTGTAGAACGGAAGCTCCAGGTCCTTTCTGCTCCTCTTCCTTAGTTTTTTGTAGTCAAGTAGGTTCCAGAGTCGGCTTCTCATTAGTCCGAGGTCACCGCCACTCTACTACTTGGCTGCCCCATCTATCTGGACCCAATTGAGACCTCGCAGCCCGCGACCCTCCACTCCCGATGCAGATCCTCTGAGCCCGACCCCACTGACTGATCCGTTGTCAACTGGATCCCATTAAGCCTGCGTCATTTGTCCGGGATCCTCTGGACCACTGAGCCCGCTCAGGAACCCCCTCTCCCCCGGACGAGTTCTGCTCCAGCGTGGGAGCGGGTGACTCAATTATCCACATCTTACCCCTGTCCCTCAACTGAATTTCACGGTTCAGGCCCGCGGAGAGGGAAAGAAACCGAGTTTTAGGCTGGGCCCTGTGTGGTCGGGTCGTCAAAGTGACAGAAGGGATGCTGGCTGAGGGCAGGATTGAGAGCTTGTCTGGACAGCAGACAATCACTTCCTACCAGACGGTCCAGTGAGAGCAGAAAAGAAAAGCATGTACTTCTACTGAGCTACTGATGTCCCTGGGGGGACTGCTGGTGTGGAAGGCAGTAGCCGCAGGAGCTGAGAAGCTCACTTAAGGGACCCCACTATTTGGCAAGACTAGTCACTGGCTACAAGGTGGCCCTTGTAGAGTTTGCCATCTGCTTCAAGTCTGTTGTGGCTGCCAGAACCCTAGAAGGGCACGCTGCAGCCAGCAGCGTAGAGCAGGTAGAGATGGACAGTAGGCAGCAGCGCCCCCAGAGGAAGACGCTACAGTGGCAGCTCACTCAAGAGGAAGGGCTTGAGTCCCCTCCACACCGGCCTTCAGCCACTTCCAGCCAGCCAGACACCAAGAACAATCTTCAGGAGGACCTGCAGACCCAAGACTGGGTAAGCAGTAGGAGGCTTTTCCAAAAAACCCAGGCTTTTAGACGAACTGATTGGGAAGGGCCATGGTGACCTCTGGGACAATAGGAGAGGACTGAATGGGACTGACAGAAACATGCAATTTCAATTTCCAGGACTCTCTTTCTCCAACCACTCTGGCTAGGCTTGGGGGTAGACTTGAAACCCTTTAGCTTCCTCTGGTGAACACCAACAAGGGATTGCCTGAGGTCAGGAAGAGGGTGCCACACATACCTATCTAACCCTCCCCGGTGTCCCTCAACCCTGGACAAGAGAGTATCACTAAGTGGGAGGGAGAATGAGGTCCCCACAGCAAGGAAGTGTCCTCTCTGGATAAACATTGGTCATCACTGAAATGTACGTGGCAGCTGTATTTGTGACAGCCTCAAACAGTATGCAAACCCTGGTCAGCCGTCACCAGATAGCAAGCACTGAATTGTGGGTAGGAGAAATAGGACCAACTGTGTGCAGACCCTTAGGACACTCCCTGAGCAGAGGATATCATACTATCTGTGAGTATAGTTTTTACTGAGAGAATTCAAAGCCAGACCACATCAGGCAAGACTGTGGCCAAGCTCAAGCTAGCTGTGCGTGGGTTGGATAGCCAGCCACTGAGCCAGGCACTGAAGTGTCTGTCCACTTGTGCCCGTGCTGAGATAAAAGGTCAGTCAGATAAGGAAAGCCGACTCCCAAGCTTGGTGTCACGGTTCACACACTGAGGAGGATCACAAGTTGAAGGCCTGGTTGAGCTACATAGCAAAAACACTTTCAGAAAACTAGCAACAATGAAAAAGAAGGGTCCCAAAGCCACCAGCATGTCCTCCAGGACCCAGTGCTTTGTCACCCACCTACAAAGGTGACAGGTGCTAAGATCTGACCTTTACAGTGCTAACCAATAGACCCCTCAGCTTTCGTGAGGCCAGCGTCTCCATAGGGCATGCTAGATTGTAAAGCCACTGAAGTATCTGTTGGGTGAGGTTTGCTCAGGGAGAGCCAGCTGCAGGGATTCTATAAGGTGAGGTAATGGGGAACAACAGAATCCTGTGGCTTAGGGGACTCCAGGATCCAGGTTGGGGACAGTGAGTCACTTCAATGTCTGCTACACCTTGGCTCCTTTTGGGATCAGCTCTAATTTGAAGTTCCTCTGCCTCTTCCTTCCACAGTTCTCAGGCCCTGCTAGTGACCTTGAAGGATGCCCAGGCTCCCTTCCCTAGCCCTGTCTCGTGTCAAGCTCTCTCCCTTGGTATAGAATATGCTTTCCCTGGTTCTTCCCTGGCTGGCTGTGTCTCATGTTACCTCCCACAGAGCTCTGACCTGGCTAACAAAAGTCCTTTGTTCCTCGCTTCCAGACCTTCGACTCATTTTCTCTGCAAGTTGTCTTCAGCCCACAATGCTACACATGATACCTCATAGAACTCAGGGACCTTTGGCCTGAGGCAAGGGTTGGAGAAAGCCTTCCTGGCAGAGGGGTCCTCAGGCATCCAGCCACAGCGCAGTACTTTCTGACGATCTGCCCAGTGTGCTCTGAACACTGGAGAGGAGCTGGCAGGAGGATACCTTCCCTACCCCGCCCCACTCTGAAACTGTGAGTGGCCAGCTAAGGAGCACCAGACATGCAAAGTCAGTCTCATGCCAAGACCCTGTGATTGTTCTAGTTAGTAAAAAAGAGTCTTCTGGAATCTCACACAGCATGGTGTTCAGAAGTCAGTAGCCTCTGTAGCCACAACAGCTGACAGGATCAGCAAGAGAAGATAGTCCTCACTTTTTATGATAGCAGTAAACTCAGGAAATATGTAAAACCTGCTTGCTATGAATGTTACCCACCCCTCCCCCAAAGGATTTCAAAGACTGTGTTCCTGGAAAACAGTGTCAGATTTGGTGGGTTCTCTCCGAGGCATTTCATCATTCAGCATGTCACTAACAATGAATGCTACATGTCGCTAGGCATGGTGGTGCACAACTTCCCAGCATGTGGGAAGCAGAGGCAGGCAGATATCTCTTGAGTTCAAGGCTAGGCTGCTCTACGTGGAGACTTCCAGGCCAGTCAAAACAAAGCAAAATAATAATAATAATAATAATAATAATAATAATAATAATAATTCCTACATTTCTCTTGTCTTGCAGCTAAGTGCATATGAAAAAATTAAGAATAGCTGGGCTAGCTTCAACCTAGGAGATTCATAAGGCTTTGCCATAGTCAAGAGGAAAAGGTAGCTTAAATAGCCAAGCAGGAAGAAAACAATCACTATTGGCAACAATATATTGTCTGTCTGGAAAATCTACATTCACCAGATTAAAAAAATAAAAGGTGAATGTTGGTTATATGACTATTATAATTTCCTTGTTTCAATACACTAAACTAGGAAATATCATGAAAAGTTCCAATTCACTGTAGCAACAGAAATTACAAGGTCCTTCAGATTATCTATTTCAAGGAATACTGAAAAGTTTTGCCAGGTAATACCAAGATCTCCTGTGGAACCAGATCCTATTACTGTGTGGACATAGATGATTTTCGTTTGTTTGTTTGGTTTTGGTTTTTCAAGACAATGTTTCACTGTGTTGTGTAGCCCTAACTGTCCTGGAACTCACTCTGTAGACCAGACTGGCCTCGAACTCACAGAGATCCGCCTGTGATTAAAGGGATTAAAGGTGTGGGTCACCACTGCTGACTCACATATAATGTTTTAAACCTGCCAATCTGCCCCAAAATAATTAAGTGGACTCCTATGGGGAAGGTCATTGGTTTGGGGTTTTTGAAACAAGGTCTCATGTAGCCCAGGCTGGTTTTGAACTTGCTATTTAAGCCGATGATAACCTTGAACTCCTGATCCTCCTGCCTCTACCTCATGAGTGCAGGAATTATAACTGTGTACCACCATGCCTGTAGGGTAGGTGCTTTACTTAGATGACTCTGACTTGGTCTCAGGAGGTATGGTCAAGGGTTCAGTCAACCACAGTTTCTATTCTGAAAGCAGAATGGAAACTATTTGTACAGTGGCTCCCATCCACAGAAGTCAGTGGTAGACAGTAAAGAGGGGGTTGTTGGGAGCCTGTAGACCCTTACCTCAGGATGATTCTTGGGTAGAGATCTCTACAGGGTAGCTGAGTAGCCTCGGGAAGGCAGCCAGGCACTGGTTTCCCCCAATGAAAGGGTGGAAAGGGAACAGGGTAGAAGCTGCTAAGATGTATACATTCTAGCCTGAGAGTCATGTCCCAGTTTCTCTGGTTTTGTTTGTTTGTTTGTTTTTGTGGAGAAGGCTACATTAGTCATTCCTACTTTGTGTGTGAGAGAGAGTTGTGGGTAATAGGAGTATTATGATCACCAGGAGCTGGTTGTCACTGGGTATGACCATTCTAGAGGCCCTGGCTGTCATGTGCAGTAATTTAAATGTCTGTAGGGCCCTTGGCCAGGCAGTGGTGGAGCACACCTTTAATCCCAACACTCAGGAGGTAGAGCCAGGCAGATCTCTGAGTTTGAGGCCAGCCTGGTCTATAGAGCAAGACAGCGGTAGCTATTTTACACTTTGAGAAACCCTGTCTCAAAGAACAAACAAGCTGGGAGGTGGTGGCGCACGCCTTTAATCCCAGCACTCGGGAGGCAGAGGCAGGTGGATCTCTGTGAGTTGGAGGCCAGCCTGGTCCACAAGAGCTAGTTCCAGGACAGGCCCCTGTCTTGGAAAAAAAACAAAACAAAACAAACAAACAAACAAACAAAAAAAAACAAATGGTAGGCAATCTGTTGCTTCATTAACATAAAGTTTGAAAGGCACAGGTATTTCAAAGCTTTACATTGAAAAGAAGCTGTGCAGCACTTAAAAAGAAAAGAACAAGGCTTTATTGGCCCTAAACCTGAACACAAAAAGGTGATGTGGAATCAGGATTTGGATAGATGCACCCGCCACCTAGGACCAATGCTGAGAAGTTGACCTCTGAGTAAATCTAGGGGGTTACTTTCCGCTTACCATGGAATTTCAAAGCAGAAGTAAGTTTTTCAACAAGCGGTATTGGAGTGCTTGCTGGCACTTTACAGGGCAATAGAATACAGTCCTGCCTTTCAGCACTCATGTGCAAACACACCGAACTTAAACTGGAAACTGCTTTGGAAGAATCTGTATTTAGAATCCCAAATGAGAAATGCTTTTCTCAATTCAAACATCATGAAGGAAAAACCCAACAGATTTAGAAAGTATCATGTAAGCAGAGGTGAACATGTTATTAAATGACAGCCTGGAAGAAATGTTTATAATATTTACATCACTGAACTATTTACTAGCTAGAATCTATGAAGAGATGCTAAAACTGAGGAGCCAATATAGCGGCCCCTACCTGTAATCCCAGCATTTGGATGGATGCTAAGGCAGGATTGTGAGTTCAGGACCAGCCTGAGCTACGTGCCAAAAATTCTATCCACAGAACAACAGCAATGAGAAAACTATCTTAAAAGTTGCATGGTACGGGTCTGGAGAGATGGCTTGGCAGTTAGGAGCACTTGCTGCTGTTGCAGTGGACCAGGGTTTAGTTCCCAGCAACCACATGTACCCTTTATAACTCCAGTTCCAAGGGTTTTGACATTCTCTCTGGCATCCACCAGCACAGACATACATGTGGTGCACATACATACAGGCAAGCAGACACTTTTTTATTTTTTATTTTTTAGATTTATTTGTTTATTATGTATACAACATTCTGCCTCCATGTATGCCCGTACGCCAGAAGAGGGCACCAGATCTCATTACAGATGGTTGTGAGCCACCATGTGGTTGCTGGGAGTTGAACTCAGGACCTCTGAAAGAGCAGCCAGTGCTCTTAACCACTGAGCCATCTCTCCAGCCCCCCCAGTAGTGGGCTGAAGATGTAGCCACTGGTAGAACATTTGCCTTGTACACACAAGGTCCTGTGCTTGATCCCAAGCACCACACATCAAACATGGAGATAAACAGAAGTGAATGAAGTCTGGCTCTCAGTTCCCAAACAAACAAAACCCATCTGAATGAACACTGAGCATGAAGACATTGGTAGAAGTGATGTCAGTGGCTGCGCCTGGAACCAATGAACACATGTGGAAAGCGTTTCTGTCAGTTGGCTTTTCCAAGAACCTGTTTGTGAATATTGTCCACTATTTTCTTCTTTTAACTTCATTTACTTGTCTTTCCTAATGTCATTTTTAATCATTTTTTATTTTTATCTTATGAGTTTGGATGTTTTGTCTGCATGTATGTCTGTGTACCACATGTATGTCTGGTGCTCTCAAGATCAGAGGAGGGGGCATGGATCCCCTGGAACTGACAGACAGTGGGGACAAAGTAAGGGTGCTGGGGATGGAACCTGATGTTCTCTGCAAGAACAGCAATGTTCTTAATTGCTGAGCCATCTCTCCAGCCCCAGGTTAAATTCTTGGGTTATTTTGTTTTGTTGCTTTGTTTTTGTTTTTGTTTTGTTTTGTTTCTGAAACAGGGTTTCTCTGTGTCGTCCTCGCTGTCCTGGAACTCAGGGTGCTGCATTAAAGGTATACACCATCAAGCCTGACTCTGGTTAAATTCCTAAGTATATAGCCAGAGCATATGAATTTAGAATGCTTTTCTTCTCCTCTTTTTCTTCTTTGACTTTTGAGACAGAAACTATGTAGCCCTAGCTTCCTGGCTGTCCTGAAATTTGCTGTGCAGAGTAGGGTTGCCTGAAACTCACAGTGTTGGGATTAAGGAGCTTTCTTCCAATGGTGGATTTAAGCTGCACATTGTCCTCAGAGGGCAGTTCTGGCCACACTCTGGCACTCTGGTGGATCTTGCTCTCATGTTCTATCTAATATATATTTCAGTCTCAGCTTTCTTTGTCCTCACATGTTGACTTAGAAAGGAATGCCCATTTTGATAAGAGTATGTTGTCTCTGGTCGGTAATTTCAATTGTATTGTTCTGTGGCCTCATAGTTATTAGTTCCAGGGACCTGGTGCAGATCCATTTTGTTTGTGGCCTAGATCGTGTCCAACTTGTGTGAATGGTCCACCTGTTTGGTGAGAACATGGGTAAGAACTCTGAGCATATTCAAGGTGGTTTGAAGACAGCCTGGTCTACAAGAGTTAGTTCCAGTACAGGCTCCAAAGCTACAGAGAAACCCTGTCTTGAAAAACCAAAAATCAACCAAACAAAAAAACCCAGAAAAACAATCAAAAAACAACCCAAACCTCAAAGGTATGGAAATGACTTTGCACACTTGCATAGCACTTTGGTTAGGTAAAAATTCTAGGAGAGAATTTTTTTCCAGGCGTTTGAAGTTCTCTCCTTGTCAGCTTCCAGTGCTACTGTGTAACACCATAGATCATGTAGATGTCTGATTCTCTGTACTTGCTCTGGTTTTCCTGTGCGTTGCTAGGCATCTCTATTTATCAACACCCCTGTGTCATTTTTGTTTTTGAAAGTTTTTTGTTAAGATTTATGTATTTTATATGTATAAATGTTTTACCTGCACACATGTCTGTGCACCGTGTGCACGCCTGGTGCCTGTGGAAGCCAGAAGAAAGCTTTGGATCTCCGGGAACTGAAATTAACAGACAGGTGTAAGTCACTGTGTGGGTACTGGGAACTGAACCTAAGTGCTCTTAACCACTGAGTCATCTCTCCAGCTTCATTTTCAAAAAACTTAAGATCTTTTTCTTCTTGCCAGTGTTCTGAAATGTGAGCATAATCTATTCTGTTAAGGCTGTTTCCTCTGTCTCTGGGGACAGAACGTGTGCATGTTTGGGCTTTGCTTTCAGTCCTGTATCAGTTAGTACTGTGGCAGCGATGCTGTGTAGTGAGTCTCTCCAAATGAACCCTGAACACACGTTTTCTCATTTCTTGATCAGAAGTGGGTTGATTGTCCTATGTGTGCCTCTCACTCTCAAAGGTCCTCTGTTCCTGCCTTTCCTGAGCCTAGCATGTGGCCTCAAGTCTATGTGTCACGTGTAGGGCGCATACATCCTCAGGAGCTACTCCAGCAAGAAGTACTATGGTGGCATAGTGCTACCAGAGGTGTGCAGCCCCCACAAAGGGGCTTAAGAACAGGAACAGCTGTAGACCAGCTTCCCACTGAATATCCGTCTCGCCAAGTCATACTTTCCATACCCAGGGTCATTCTTGTCCTCTGGATGGCCCCTCTCCACGTGCTTCTGCTCTTGTTTCTTTCATTGCCTGTGCCCTACATCCAGAGGCCACAGTGACAGTAGAGACCTGGGATCTCTCTTGTTTCTCAGCTAGCTAGTATCTCTGTCCTGCTCTTCGCCTTGGGCTTGTGATACTGGCGACTTTGCATGTGTAGGTGTTCAGATAGCCTTTGTTAGCAGGTGACTTTACTGTGGCATGATCAGGTAGGCATCTGGCTTCCAGTGATTACAGGCTCCTGCTTTTCAACAGAAAGGAACGTCTATGCAGTAGGCTAAGGAAAATAGAGTAAACTAGGCTGCAGGATGGGTGAGGGCCTGTGGACTTCCACCCCCTTTTTTCCCCCCGATTTAAACAACAGGAATGTATTGTCTTAACTTCTGAATCAGAGGTCTCTAAAGAGAAGGAATCAGAAACGTTGATGTTATCCTTTTTGGACTGCTGTCAGTTGCGGCCTCCATAACAAACCACGGTAGCTTAGGCAGTGTGGAGTGCTGCTTCTCAATTCTAGAGGCTGGCAGGTGCAGGCCAAGTCCAAGCCTCTCACAGATTCAGGTCTGGAGAGGGCCCACTCCTTGGTTCACAGAAGTTGCCTTTCCCTGTGTTTGAATTTGATGGGTGTGAGTGAGCTCTGTGGATCTCTTTCTGATGCACTAGCACATAACCTCTCCCCTGAGGCCTTCCTCCTTGTCCCGCACTTTGAAGGGGAGACTTTGGCCTGTGAATTTGGTGGGACACACATCTGGAAGCCTGGCTTCTGAGGGTTGCAGGAGGACCTTCAGGGGGACCCTTCTTGGCTTATAGACCATCGTTTCCTGTGTTTCTCTGTACCTTCTCCCAGTACATGCCTTTGGAGTCAAATGTTCACTTTTTTCCCTCATATTTTTGTCATCAAAGCCACTGTGTGTGTGTGTGTGTGTGTGTTGGCATGGATTCTAGAGATGGCTTCAAAGACATGAACATGACCTTGGTCATGCACATGCTAATGGTGTGTTCTGTCATGGAGCCCATCCAGGCTCTTACTGAATATACCCTTGTTGTGAAACAGATTTCCAGGTCTCTTCCACTTTCAAAATCTGCATCATCTCCATTAAGTATCTCCCCAGAGGCTCTGCTCTACTTTCTGTCTCAGTGAGTTTGAGTTTGACTATTTCTAGACCAGCAGGGTCATAGGAGTTCATGGGCAGCCACACAACAGCATGTGTCAAATTTTTTTAATTGAAAAATTTTTAATTTTTTTAATTTTTAAAAATTTATGCCAGGTGGTGGCACACGCCTTTAATCCTAGCACTCAGGAGGCAGAAGCAGGCAAATCTCTGTGAGTTTGAGGCCAGCCTGGTCCATAGAGTGAGTTCCAGAACAGCCAGGGCTGTTTCACAGAGAAACCCTGTCTTGATAAACCAAAAAAAAAAGTGTGTGTGTATATGTGTGAATTTATGTGCACCATGTGCATGCAGGTGCCCACTGAAGCCGAATGGTGTGTGATCTCTTTGAATTGGCATTATAGGCAGTTGTGAGCTGCCTGAGGTGAGTGCTAGAACGGAACCCAGGTCATCTGCAAGAGCAGAACACACTCTTAACTGCTGAGCTTAACTATCTAGCCCCAAATGCCCTTCCTCCCTCCCTTCCTCCTTCCTTCCTTCCTTCCTTCCTGTTGAGTTAGTAATGTTCCATTGTCTGGGTAGATCCACCCTCCACAGGCACTTGAATTGTGTCCATGTTTTGACTGAGCGAATGAAGCTGCTGTGGACATAGGTGTTCACACACCTTTTCAAGTCCTGCCTTTAAATTCTTCTGGGTCTGTCCCCAGAAAAGGAACCATTGGATTGTCATGCATTAATTCTTTCAAGGTTTCTTGAGTAAGGAGGTCCTTCACTCGGTATCTCATCCTGCTCCCTTTCCATCCAGAAGTGTGTGCCCCCTAAGTAGGCAGTCTGGAGGGACTTCCACAGACCACCCACCATGGCAGGGGCATCCTGTGGCTGTTATATGTGGGCTTTACCTACAGCCTATGCCAGCTTTCTTGCAAGTCACCCACTTCCAATCTTCTGTGTGGTGTGACTGATGACCCTCTTCAGCTCATACCTGTTTTTAAAACTTTGTTCATGTGTGATCAGAGTGTTAGTTTTCCTCCTAAATCTCTTTATAGACATTTTGTTATTTTTGTTAGTTTGTAACCAAACCCAGCCTTTAAGATCACTTTATAGGGCTCTTAGGGAGGAAGGATGCCTAGGGTTGATCTTTGAGAGTTGATTTTTTTTGGGGGGGGGGCACCAACAGGTTAGCTTTGTAATGCCTCTGGCGCAACCCCACCCTCCACTTTGGAGTAATTTGCCAGAACCACTGTAATGTCTGCATAGTCCAGGGACAGATGGAACAGTACCCATGAATACCTCATGGGGTTCATGCAGTGCTCAGGTATGCCAGTGTGGGTGTGTTCTGCCTAGAGCCATGTAAGAGCGTACTGCCTTCCCCACTAGCAGCTCTCCCTGAAGCACAGTGAGGGAGTCAGGCCAACCTGGGTTCCAGACTGAGACAATAGGAGCTGGAGACATAGCTCAGTTGGTAAAGTGCTTGCCATACAGACGTGAGAAACTGAGTTTGGAGGTGACCGTGCGCTCTGTACCCACAGGTGTGTGAGCCTCCAGAGCGCAGGTGCCCAGGTAGTCGCTGGAATGTCAGCATCGACGAGCGCAGACATCTGGCCATGCTGCATGCGCAGGAGAGAACAAACACGGCCAGGGTCCCAGCTAGAGACACGCTGGGCCTGCACCTTCCAGTCCGGCCGACTGCACCCTTCCCATTGACTGGGCCTGCCCCAACCTCGCCCAACCAGGTCCCTGAAACCATGGTTGGTCACCCGCAGGATATTGTGCAGATGGTGGCCAACCTGGTGTCTGAGGGTGTGGACAGGGATGTACTCCTCCCTCATCCGCAACATTCCACCAGGTACACCTTCCAGAACTTCTTGGCCCGGGGCACTCCCCTCTGGCAGAGCGAGAATTTCGAGGCCCAGACCTCAAGGTCACCACCCTCCTAAGAAGGATCCCTGCTTAGCCCAGTGTATGTTGTCCAGTGCCTTTCTTTGTGGTGGAACATGACTTCCATACCATACCCCTTGTGCCCTCTTTGGGCGTGACCCACCCACAAAGGACAAACAGGTCAGGACCAAGGTCTCAGGACTCAGGAGAGCTGCCCCTCCTGGGAACCTGGTTGGGAACTAACTACAGAAGAACCATGGAAGGGAGAGTCGGACAGAGTAACTTTCTGAAAGAGCCCCTGCTCGGTGGGGCATAATGGTGACCAGCATTTGTGGGCCTCTGAGGAGGTTAGATTTCCACACAAACCACCGACTGCTTTGCTAGCCTCATTACTGAGCAGCTGCCCAAGGAGGTGGTGAGACCCCTGCCACGTCCAGTTCCACCAGTAGGGTTTTCATGTCATGAACCATTTGGGACTCTGGGATCTAGCCTCAAGATGAAAAGGGATGTGTGACCTGGGAGATACTATGAGACTTTTGGGGACAGCTCAAGGAGAGGATCCTAGTGAGGTTCTAGACATAGGCAGACTTCCAGGTAACTGATCATTCCAGACAGTGAACTTGGAGTTGGACAGGCTAGGAAGGCAGTGTGCACCATACAGTAGGTTTGGGGTAATATAAGGAGCTGTGTATCTCACTTTGTCTTGAGGTTGGAGGCCCTGAAGAGGGTTTGGGACTGGGGTGGTAACACAAGACACATTTGGGGGACATCAAGCTGGAGGAAAGGCAGTAAAAGTGTGTAACCCCAGTCTGTCAGAGTGTTTATAGGGGGCACCACAGACTCAGAGACTGGTAGCGGTGGCCTGGACTTCTGTGTGCGTAAGGCTGGGCACAAGGAATTTTGAGTCAAGAGGAAGTGATAGATCCTGGATTTAAGTATGGGCATGAGTCAGAACTGTGCCCTAACTGAGGGAATCTGCCAGCTTTCTAGTGCAGCACCAGCTGGCCCTGGCCAAAGTTCATTGCTGAAACACAGACTTACCCAGGCTCGACACTGGGTCTCTACCTGCTGACTCGAAGTCCCTGACCTTGCTTCCCTCCCTTCCTAAGACTCAGTGAAATCCCTTCTCCTCCAGGAAGCCTGCCTTCATCACCCTACTGGGATTTCCTTCCCAGTTGACCCTTGGTATGATTTTTGTCCATCCAAGAGGCCTCTACAATTTTCAGGGTACAAAGGGCAAAGGGAAGGCAGGACATGGGGCCACAAGAACTAGGACAGGGATAGTGCTAAGGAGTCTGGACAGGGCCCTGGGCACATTGTAACCCTCCCACCCTCTTGACTTGGAGCATGGCATGTGGTGGGCTAAGTTCTGTGCTGGGCAAGAAAACATAGAGTTCTGTCAATGTGAGCTAGAGTCAAAGGTCACCACATCAGTGCCTGCCGCTATGTGCATTCAGCTCTGAGTCGCTTTAAAGGACTCCATGTTACTTGACTTCCGCTCATGCTGAGGGTTGGCAGGGCTTCTCCGGGTCTTGTGAGCTTGCCTGGGCACCTCCTGAGTCTGCAGCCAGATGGAATCTGAGATGGTCAACTCCTCTTAGAATCTGTCCCACCACAACAACACAAGCCACGTCATTTAGAGCACCAGGGCTGAGGCCCAGAGCTGGCCCCCACCCACTGGCCGCTTGTGACAGTTAATGCAGCTGCAAGGCCAATGAATTCAGCAAGGAATGCAGCCTGGTACTGTAACTGTTGGCAGTGCCCGTGAGAGCACTGTTGCCCAAACACTGAGGCAGTGCACAGTTTCCAGAGGCTGCTACAGCTGCTGGTCACAGACTCAGTGCTCTAAGAGAACAGATCCATTAAGTTCTGTAGTCGTGGGCAGAGGGCCTCCCTACACGAGGATCAGGATGTAGGCGTTTGTGTTCCTCATGAGGCTCCAGGGAACTGCAGCTCACCTTTCCCAGCTGCCCAGAGTAAGTTAGGCCACGACACTGGCTCTGTGCTCACCCCTCTCTCCTCCTCTTTCAGCTCCTATGGTTAAGGACCCTTAAGACTACTCTGGGCCCACCCAGAGGACCTGGAAAACCTCCAGTTTTAAGGTCAGACTTAGTAAACTTGATTTCCTTTGCTCCATCAGCATATGCACAAGGATCCCCCTATTGGGAGGGGAGCATGGCATCTTCTCTCGATGCTGTTGGCCCCTATGGGTAGAGGGCTAGGTGCTGCTAAGGTTTATAGGACAGCTCCCCACAATCACGTTACCGGGTTCTGGGTCCAGGTGCTCTACTGGGAAAAACTTGCGCCAGTGAAGGGTATAGGCGGTGGAGAGCTCTGAGAAGATGGGGTGATTAGGGGTTCGCACAGACAGGTTGGCTAATCTTAGAAGAAGCAGAAAGATCTTGTGGGGAAAGGTCCCTAGCATTTTAGTCAAGGGGACGCAGGTCAGGTTGGGCGAATCCTCCCCCAACAAAGCAGGCTCGAGTTTTCTTGGGCTAGCCACAGCCACGGGATCTCACTGGACAGCACCTGTCTCAGCTTGATACTCTGGCTCTGAGTGGGTTGCAGAGGACACTCCGTGTCTTAGGGTTTCTAATGCTGTGACAAAACACCATGACCGAAAGGCAAACTGGGGAGGAAAAGGTTTGTTTGGCTTACACTTCAGCATTGCTATTCATCGTTGAAGAAAGTCAGGACAGGAATTACACAGGGCAGCATCCTGGAGACAGAGGTCATGGAGGGGAGCTGCCTACTGCTTCGCTCCTCATGGCTTGCTCAGCCTTCTTTCTTATTCCTATAGAACCTAGGGCCATGGGCTGGGCCCTCCTGCATTGATCACTGAATGAGAAAATGCCTTCCAGCTGGATCTCATGGAGGCCTTTCCTCATCCGAGGCTCCTGCCCCTCTGGTGACTCTAGCTTGTGTCAAACTGACACACACAGCCAAGAAGCACAGTCTGGATACCTGGAACAGGAAGAGGCCTCCAGCAGCTGACTTTTTCAGTGCAGGGCTGCTGGGGCCCTTTGAAGCTGTAGGTCACAGCCGTCTACGCATGCCACTACTTAAGAGATTACTTCATTGGATTTACAAAAACACTTGCTCAAAATTAACCAAGGTTTTCTTTTAAAACAAAGCAGTTTGATTGCTAAAGTGAGGACTGTTCACATCAGGTCATCCCAGCTATTTCTGGGGCATCTGCGGGAGTGAAATGATGGGGTTCTGAAGCATGCAGCTTCTGCTCACCCATGAAAAACACTGTGCTAAAGAGAAAGAGGTGAAACTACTTAAGCTGGAAAAGCCCAATGGAAAGATGGTGTGATGGTGCATGCTTTGGAACCCAAGCACTCAAGGCGGCAGTCGGAGGACCGATGCACATTTGAGGCTAGCCTGAGCTACACAGTGAGACCCTGTCTCCAAAAAATGTAAGATTATTTTAGAAACCATACAATAAGGGATGAGTACCACTTGTTTTTCAATGTAGACAACACTGATTTTTTGGTTTGGTAATGAGTGACATGGTCTTTCTCTCCTCTGCCCTGACTTTTCCTCAGTCAATTCACGCAAGCAAGCCCCATTATATTTACCTCCCATTCCAACTCCCCAGCCCTTGCTCTGCCCTCCTATAATCAGCTTACTCCAGAACTTGGGCCATCTGCATTCTTTGTATATTTTTAATAAGCTGAAATTAAGGTCAGCTTCTAAGTTTTATTTTTTTATACTATGTGTACAGTGCCTGCATATATGTGTACCATGGACTGAAGTGGCCAAGGCGGCCAGAGGGAGCACCAGATCCCCGGAGCAGACAGCTGTAACAGCCACATGGGTGCTAGGAATTGAGCCATGGTCTCCTGAAACAGCAGCAAGTGTTGAGCCATCTCTCCAGGTCCCTGAGTTTTTATTTGTATTTTATTTTTTGTTTTTTTGAGGCAAGGTTTCTCTTTGTAGCCCTGGTTGTCCTGGAACTCACTCTGTAGACCAGGCTGGCCTTGAACTCACAGAGATCCATCTGCCTCTGTCTCCTGTGTGCTCGGATCAAAGGCATGCACGACCATTGCCCCACTAAGTTCTTACTTTTAGATAGGGTCTCATATAACCCAGGCTGGCCTTAAACATGTAGTTGGTGTTGTGTCCTGTTTCTACCTCTCAAGTGCTGGGATTACAGTGTGTATCACCATGCCTGTCCAGTTGTTTTTTTATATATATATATATTATAATTGCATCATTTCCTCTTCCCCTTTCCTCCCTCCAAACCCTCCCATATCCCACCTTACTTTCTCTCTGATTCATGACCTCTTTTTGCATTGATTGTTTTACATGCATATATATGTATACACACACATATATATTTCTAAGTATAACCTACTCAGTCTGTATAATGTGACTGGTATCTGTGTTTTCAGGACTGGTTATTTGGTATCAGATAACCGAATGGTGTGCCCCTCCTTGGGGAAGGGTATGTCTCTTACTCTCGGCACTCCGTAGTTGCCTTCAGTTTTTTGTATAGGGTCAAGACTCCCCTGGTCTTTCCTATGCCCACTTTTGGCCACTTGAGTTTTTAAAGAACTTTTTCCTGTTCTTGTATGTCTGGAAATGTTTTCTCGAGAGCTTTATATATGCAAGAAAATCTGTCTGGGTAAAAAACTGTGGGTTATATTTTCTTCTTAAGAACTATTTTTCTATGCTTTGAGTGCTGCTAGAAAAAAAAAGGTCAGTTTTCTATTTTTGTGGGGGAGGAGGAAGGAAGAAAGGGTTTACTTCAGCCTACAGTCCATCATCAAAGAAAGCCAGGGCAGAAACTCAAAGCAGGAACCTGAAGGCACAAGCTGAAACAGAGACTATGGTGGAATGCTGCTTACTAGCTTGCTCTTTTTCTTACACAAGCCAGGACCACCACCAGGGATGACCCAACCCAGAGTAAACTGGGCCCTCACAGGTCACTCATTAATGACAAGTCCACAGGCTGATCTGATGAAGCAATTCCTCAATGGAGGTTCTTCCAGATGACTCTAGTTGTTTGGGTCAAGTTGAAAACAAAACAAAACAAAACAACAACAACAAAAACAACCAAAAAAAAAAACCCAAAAAATAAACCCAAAAATCCCACAATTGACCTCTTGTCAAGTTGACACACAAATGCAACACAAAACATAAATCTTTCTTGTTTGTCCTCAAGGTCATATTAATATACGTATAACTTTGAAAGTCCCACAATCTTTAAAAAATTCAACACTTTAAAATCAAAGTTCTCTTTTTTTTAAATATTTATTTATTTATTTACCAGAAGAGGGCACCAGACGTCATTAGAGATGGTTGTGAGCCACCATGTAGTTGCTGGGAATTGAACTCAGGACCTTTGAAAGAGCAGGCAATGCTCTTAACCACTGAGCCATCTCTCCAGCCCCAAAGTTCTCTTTAAAAATCCAAAGTTTCTTAATTGTGGGCTCCTGTTATGTTAAATACTTTCTTATTTCAGTAATGAAGAACCAGGGCATAAGTATAACCATAATAAAGCAAAACCAAAATCAAACAGTGTGCAAATCTGACATCTGGAACTCACCCAGGATTCTCTGGGTTCCAGAAAGCTTGTGAAGCTCACCTCTCCAGTTCTCCGACTCCAGCAAACACAGCTTGTCCAGGAGGCTCAAGCCAGTTTTCCACGCCACCACGGAGGGAGAAGGGAGGTTTGAGCCAGAGTCTCTGTCTCTGTACACAGCACTGGCTGTCCCAGAACTCACAGAGCACTGGGATCAAAGGCGAGCGCCACCACGCACAGTGCTCCTCTTTTGTTTGCTTTGCTTTTTGTCTTTGTCTGTGATATTTTTTCTGAAAAGTGGTTCAGTTCAATAACACATAAGACAGGCCTCAGATGACCAGTGCTGCACTGATGTGCTGGAGCGTGGCATGGGCCTCTCCCGCTCAGGCTTCCGGAGGACTTGCAGCTTAACTGACTCTGAACACTTCTGGCTTC